GTGTTTAGCGTTTTGATGCATCTTTTCCAACTAAAAACCTAAGTTTATTCAAACCATCACTTTTCACTCAGACACCTGTTTCTTCCTGAAGCAAAATCAGATGCACACACGCATCCATCTCACCTCATATCAATCTCACAAATCACAACATTCTCAATCTTATAAGTTCACCAGAAGGTCTATTTGAGCAAGAACAGCATATAAACTGTTAAAAGATTGTCCCACAAAGTTGCCAATGTGATTGTTATTTCCTGTTTGTCAATTTTCAAAATCATTAGTTTAATTTGAAGAATTAAAACTTTTAATCCTTCAAACTTGTTTCCTCATTGAACTGAAACACAGACACTCAGATATTATCGGCAGTTTATGGATGAAAACAACCTTTGAGTCTTCTGAACAATATAAAATTTGGTTATTGATTTATTAAAATTAATATTCCGAATTAATACGTAGCATGGTTTCTCTTTCATAAAAGAGCATAAATCCATTACGCTACACCCTCATCTCATTTGCCTTGCTGCTGCTGCTGCTTTCATCATTCTCTGAAATTATAATGGCACTGTTAGAATAAAGAATCATTTTAAAATAAAAATGTTTTAATATTTCAAAAGATTTGTACCACAGTTTACTTGAGTACAACATGTGTGATCACTGGTCAGTGGATCAACATGCAGTGGTTCTGCTGTACTTCTCACTGCGGGGTCCTTCCTCCTCCTTGGTTCAGGGTGATGAACAAACACAGCATCAGCCCTGAGTTTCACCTTGCCTTGCCTAAGCTTAGTACACTGTCCCTCCTCTACATGTGCATGTAGAGTGGTGTATTAGTTTATTTGCTGCCACATTTAACAGTTTAATTGCAGCCTTGTGCAGTTGAGAGCAGAACATGTAGAGCCTTGATAGAAAACATTATAGAGTGCACGTTAAACTCACGGCACACAGCTTTTTATTATTGTGATCTCTGCTCATGGTGAGGTTGCTCCTGCTGACTTGAGACAACCATTTTCTTCTCTCTGCGTTTTTGGGGAAGCCATAATTCTGATTCCTCCCTCAGACCGATTGCTATGTGCAGCGCAGCCAACCATGTAAGATATTCAACCTATAAAGGGCTTGTTAAAATACTATTTTTGTACATATAGAAATATTGAACTAAACCACAAATGTAGATTTGTAAAATTACATTTTAAAATTTTATCCAACCCTAAAATTAGTCATTTCAAATTTTAACCCACGGACACATTTTATTTTAATAATAATCAAAATAAAGTTATTCAAAAGAGTTTCATTAGGTCTTAAGTACATTGCTCATAATTAATGATTCAGCTTATTTGTGCATATGTAATGACTTAACATAATATTGGTAAAATGCTTTATTAAAAATGCTATTAAACATGTTGTACAAGTTTGGTGTTAATTTTTTCACAGTTAAAACTTTTTATCTACTGTGATGAACCACACAGTTTTACTGAAATTTTCTTTGTAATTAGTTGCTACAGAAGCCAGATAAACTGGGTTATAGATGCATGTACAGTCTTCACATAAAAATATAAAGTAATGATTGTAAAATGTATTCTACTGAACATAATAGATCATCATTCAATGCATAAACAGCTACATATTTTCTTCAAGGTAAGCTGGAGCAGAATTCTAGCTTTCAATAAACCACTTTAAAATGGATATTACAACTCGAGTTTAGGGCTTCTTGTAGGACTTAAAGTTATTAAATATGCTTATATTAGAGCAGTGTGTTGCATTACTACATCAAATGTATTGCTATAATATATTATAGTAATGCATGTGGTCTAAATGTGTTCTACAGTGTGTTAAGACTGTCGTGTTCCTGTAATGTAGAACAGTCACGGGCGTTTGTCTTCCTACAAATGCTCGGAAAAATGTAAATAGGCTACTTTGTGAAGGAGTTAGGACATATTATATAATATAAAATATAATATATAATATTATTCAATAATTACCATAAATCGCCAGGGGAAATGTGATTATATTAAATTTTTGTGATTTGTCCCACCATACGCCGTTCAAACTGACTTACGGCGCAGTGGGATGTTTGGAACTGAGAGCTCCATGAACCACGACCGCGAGTCGGCGAGTTCAAAGAGTCTCTCTCTACAGCTCTGACAGAACCCTGCCCTCCTCTCCCAATGATTGGACAGGAATTCGAGAAACGTGATTGGTAGCTAAGACTCGTGCTCTCATTGGTTCCACCCAAGTTCCTCCCACTGATGCTAGAATCGAGACAAAAAGATCTGTAACACTGTAGATTTGAGGTTTGTGCCTGTAGAATGAAATGTGTGTTTTGAGAGTTTTGATTTCAAACTTGTACCTTGATTTTTTTCAATTTGGAAGTCTGCTAGTTACAAAACGAAAGTTTCATGTTTCTGAATGAATGTTTGATGTTACAAAATGAGTAGTAAATGTACAAAATAAAAGTTTGATTTTACAAAATAAAAAATACATGTACAAAATACAATGTTCCTGTTACAAAACAAGAAATACAAGTACGAATTGAGAATTACAAGTTAGAAAACTAAAGTTACAAGTTACAAATCCAAAGTTACATGTGATGAAACATGTTCGAAGTTACAAAACTTGGTACAAGTTACGTTGAATATTGTCCCAATCCTAGCTCCATATTAATAGAGCATCCAAGGAGTCTCCACTTCATTTTTTTGGTAAGTAAAATTATATTTATGTATTTTAGGTCACTGCCAAGCTGAGCTTAGATTTTAACATGTACTCTTTAACCATGAAATTTAAATGTAATAGGGTAAAACCCAGTGCATTTAACATAATGCTGCACTTTAGAAAATGGGTTGAAATATAGCATGTTGGTGGAGCTGGGTTCCGACTATCGGCTTGTGGAGCTCTCGGGAGACCGATGTTTTCCACCCGTTCTCCCCTCCCCGCAGCTCGGCGCATCTCTGTCTGGTCGCGGCTTCTGTCTGCTGCGCGGGTAGCCGGCTTGTGGAGCTCTGGGATGGAAACCTTTCCACCTGGTTATCCCCAGCGGCAGCTCTGCGCATCTCAGATTGCAGCTGCGCTTGTCTGCTGTGCGGCTGCCGGCTTGTGGAGCTCTCGGAGACCTCTGTGTTCTACCCGGTTTTACCCAGCAGTCAGCCCGGCATATCTCTGACTCAGAAGCTCTGGTGTTGTGCACAGTTAACTCCAGTTGTAGCTAAGTTGTTACCTCCGTTAGCTTAGCTCCCATCTCTGCGTTAACTTTGGATTAGCTTCAGGTTAGCTTGTAGCTAGTTCGACCGGGTGTCGTCAGTCGATCCCAGCCTTACAGCCCCACCCTCAGCTCCACCTCTCTTCCCTTTTGTGGAATTGTCTGGGCTTGACGGAACCTGTGACACTGTCAAAATGGCGGTGGTGGCCACCTCCAATTTCTCCTCAAAAACGTGTTATTGGAGTCTATGGAAACCCATTGTCCAATATTTATTTATATGTCGATGTGCTGCACACATGCAGGCAAAGGAGGCATGATACAACATACAAGGTCTCTGTTTGCTGCAAAGTATGAGCGACAGATAATCAACTGGTATGATCGGCTCTAAAATAAGTAGATCGAAAATCAGACAATCCCGTTTTTTTTTTTAAACGGAAATCAGCCGATTTTAATTGGTGGCCAATCAACTGGAACATCTCTAGTGATTACGTTTAATAATTTCTAAAATAAAATAAAAAAAGCATACACATTTCCTGAACGGAGGAAATTTGCTGGATTGCTGCTTAAAGAGATGTTGCACCCCTAAGCGAAATTGTCTGTTGACATGTTCCCCAGAGTTAGATAAGTTGGAAAAAGCATTTTGTAATCAACTGACATTCTCCTAATCTGGCAGTAGTCTGTTAGCTTAGCACAATATAAGTGAATGGTAACAGTTAGCATTTAGTGTGAAAAAGCCATGAAAATTACTCAGTAATAATTCTATGTTAAAGGTGAACTGGCAACCGACTAAATTCCACCTAGGGGTGGAATATCCCTTTAAGTGAGGCTTCAAGCTGCTGGTCAGACATCCTGATGGTGTTTTCTACACTGTGCATGCCAATTGCTGAGCTTTCATGCCAACAGTCTGAATAGGCTGAGTTGTAATTCATGCCAAGAGTCTCTTTGGCAAACTGGTTGTGCAAAAACAACTCACTGGTTTGAGATGTTTATCAGTTATAAAGAGCAGAAAATTCTGTCCCCATTGTAATTATCTCAGTAGCATCAGATCATAATTGACATGACTGGAAAATACCTTTAGACCTTTCAAAGAGTGTGTCCCCAGCTCTGGGGTGTCCATCACTGCCATGCCATTTCCTCAATGTGTCTCCGTTTCCTGACAAGCCATATGTGCTGCTCTGTCAGAGTGCAGGAGTGAGAGGAGCCGTGTGAGGAGCTGGTGTTCTGACTATCCGTGCTTCCTCGTCAAATTTTCCTACCAACGCGCATTTCAACAGCTGATTCAGTCTGTCCATGTTAACTGAAAATCGGTGGGTGCTGTTAATTAATTTTATGAAAAAAAGTGGATAGTGTAAGAAACAGTTTAGTCATTTCGTAAAAATTAACCCCAGTTGCTAAAAACATTTGAATATTCTCAGAACAATGACGATTTAAAGCACTTTCACCCATGTCGAGAAAGTGATTCATCAAAAGGGAGATTTGTAAGACGTTAGCTCTTACCATCCTATTTCTCTACCTAAATCCTTTATTAGACAAATTAATCCACATAGAACAAACATGCTTTCCCCACCAATACCTATATAGTTATTTGTTTGAATGTATAATTTGAGATTGTTATACAACTATGATAAATGTATTATATGTTTAATATAAAACTTTTGGATATTAATTTGGGACTCTTTCAGAATGACTGTAAACAATGGGAGACATTTCTTGTTTACAGTATAACAACAATATTTTAGAAGCCATTCACAAGCTAACTGTCAGGTAAACATACAGCAAGCAGTAATTTCATAAAACAACTCAAAGAAATACTTACTGTGACCTTCGACGAGTTGAAAGTAACTAGATAAGTGACGAGATTAAAAGTAAACTTCCACAGGTAGAGCGTCTGAACTTGTAAACAGCCTGTGACGCAATAATTGGCCTGTGCATGTGCATTTCCCCCAAAGTAGCACATTTCGACAGGGAGCACGGATAGTCGGAACACCGGCTTTAATTATGCATGAGTTTCAGCTCCACAGAGAGTACACAACTAGGCCTGCAAAGATGGAATCCGGCACCGAGGGCAGGAATACTGAGCGAGATTTGTGCTGATTGAAGGAGTGACCTAAATTTATCTTTAATGAAACAAGCTGTGAGGTTCTGCAGCATCTTTAAACAGCTGGGATGAACTGCAGTTTTATCTGGGTCAGTTTGGAGATGCAACAAGGAAATCTTAAACAAAACCATACCAGTGTTAAGTCTGCCTGTTGGGAATTGTGGGAACAAAGAAGCATCCCGTGTCAGGAGTGTTTGGGAATAAATTATGTAGGTTCACTGGCACAGAAATGTAAATATACCCCATCCCTTCAACCTAAGACCCAGTCGATGTTTTATTTTTTTTCTCAAGGCTGTTTTTCTTTGTCTTTGCACGTGATCTGTGTCTAGCAGAAATAACACCAACACCATCTAAGCTTGTTTTCATATTTTCCTAATAATCTTGCAGCCGTTTGTGGTTTTTCTGGGTGATGTTGATGATTTTTATTCTTTGTGCTCATTCTACTGGACATGTGAGCAGGTCTGTACCAGTTAGTTTTGTTTAGCTGATGGTTTAAATTGTACTGTTGTGATCTTGTTACAATGCAACATATTTTAACTTTTTTAACTATTGGTTTGTAATGCCTTTTGGCTGATTTGCATCCACCTACGTCAACTTAGTGGTGCTTGTTCATTTAAAAAAATGGTTTGAAATGTTTTTAATCTAGATTCTTTCTTCAGTCTTCATGAAATACTTATTTTCGTGCTTTTTATATTACAGAAAGGGTTTGTGGTCCACAAAGTAACCATGACCACTGATCTGTTTTAGAAAGGGATAACTTGGACAAAATCTCAGCTCATCTATGAGGTGCCAATCATAAAGTTATATAATGACAAATCCATAGCTACATTTTGCAAAACTTTGCATTTAATTGGCTACATTTAGCATCTAACAAAAAAAAGCTAACCCCTTTGAAAAGTCTGTTTTTAGACATGTTTGTTTAGAAAATAATATTATGTGTAAAGGTTTCAACCTACATCTAAATCACATTATTAAAGATGGACATTTATAATCAGATCTATGTAAAGGTAAATCCAAATAATGAAAGCTAAATATAATTGTAGCCTTTTAAACCTTTTTTTTTAACTAACTTAGAATTATAATGGAAGCAAACTGCCAAAATAAAACAAGGGTGAAGAGCCCTTATATAACATCTCTGAGACCCTTTAATGGTAAGATTGTGAAACTCTGTTTGTTGATCATTGATCCATATTCCTGTCTGGAGTTTTCCAGCACATTGATGAATGATCAGTGGTTAAACAGACCCACATAGTCTTACCATCAAAGGGAATCTGACATGTCAGATAGACGATCTTCAGCCTGATTTAGGTTTTAGTAGGCTACTTCCTGTTTACAGTGGCATGCGAGTTATTTTTGTTTAGAACATAGAATCATTAAACTGACCCTTTTTTACATTTAGATTGCTTTTAAGATGTTATTATTCAGAGTTAAATGTGGCTTGTGGTTCATTTACTGTTGAACCTCTATACATAAAAGATTAAAGTTATTCATTAATTTTGCATCTTATTCAGAAGTTTATTTAAATGTTTAATAATAGTGGTTTTTTACCGTGGTATTAAAAACTACATATAAAACCATAGCTTATGGGCTTATTTATTCAAATATATTGACTTTTCTCCATGCATCACAATCAGGTAAATCATTTCCTCGTTGCTGCAGCTTTAATGAGAGGCACTGAACCCAGTAGTGCTAATTTAAATGCAAGTGACAGTTAATGTAAAGGTCACTTTACCTGACTGACCAGTGCAAATGGGTTTTAGAGGGAAATGTGCACGCAAATTCCTCTCACGCCAGCGTGGACATGGCGCTGTCTGCAGAAACTAAACTGAAGTTAAATATTGCATCAACGTGCAAAATGTTACATAAATGTGAACGTGCTGAATGTGTCAGAAGCGAGACTAACGTCTCTAATTTACCGAACCGCAGCAAAAGTACAAAGTGATCTAATCACTGTCAGAAGTTTCTGATCACCTGCAAGTTCACGGAAACAAAAGGATGAGTGGTGATCAGATGTGGAGTCGCTACAAACCAGCAGCAGCATCCGGAGCAGGGCGGAGGATCGGGGACTGGGCTGTTTTCACCCGAAAGCCTTTAAAAACAACAAGTAACCGGATGGTTGGTCATAACCGACCTACCTGATCGAACCGAGGTCTGCCGAGCTGGAAAACAGGACCTGCCGCAGACTCCGCCATCATACCAAACTCTTTATTTATTCATGAACTGAATCGGAGGGTTAAGAGCGAACTAACTAGTCGAGCTGTGTGGCTTCCGCTAAGCATGTCGGGAGCTGTAGTTTATCCGCTTGCCTTCGCAGTGGCAAAGTTGATGCGCGTGACTACACATCCCAAATGATCGATCAGCTGAAAGGCGTTGCATAACTGTTTGGATTGATCTTGTGAGAGATAACAGCTGAGGTTGGGCTGAAACGTTCACTTCTGAGTGAGGAGGTGTGGCCTGAAGAGGAGAAAAGAAAAAGAAGGGATGAGAGCAGCAGGATGTGTGTGTGTGTGTGTGTGTGTGTGTGTGTGTGTGTGTGTGTGTGTGTGTGTGTGTGTGTGTGTGTGTGTGTGTGTGTGTGTGTGTGTGTGTGTGAATCACTCCACTGGACGTTTTCATCAAACTGCTGTCACCTGAAGGCCAGAGGTGATGGACTGCTGCTACAGGAGGAGACTGACTTTAACCTTAACCACCAGCAGCACCATTAAAAAGTACAAATCTCATAGGTTGTGTTCTTTTCCTTCACAACCTATAACCTAAAACAGCAAACGTTATTCTGTGAGTCTTGGTAAATATATATTTTCATTAATAACATTAATTCTGCAATAAGTAAGACATCAACAATCTCTATCCTGGATGACCACTGACTGCAGCAAATGCTCAACTGATCTCCTTCCAGCATGTCATCTGTCTTTCCCATCATGTGTAGGAGGAAGGTTAAATTCCACCACCTTGGAGAGTTCATGCTTGAACATCCTACTTCCATACGACCTCTGCAGGAATGCATGTAGGAATTTAGGTGTATGCAGTGATTTCTTGTAAAACGCTTTGGAAATTTGCAGGAACTATTAGTTTCGCAAGCCTGTAAGATTAAAAGTACCTTTGTAGCCAAGATGCCTCGTGGAGCCTCAGTGTTCTTATTAGTGCTAAAATATAACTTTGTTTTTTCATCTTTGTTGCCTTCTGTCTTTTTGATCAGTACAGCTAAAAAGGCATTCTGTTCACAAAAGATGTTTTTTGTTGAAATGGTCAGAGTTGAGTGATTTAAACAAAAATAATCTTTGTACTGAACTGAAGATCTGTGAAAACTGTGCATGACATGCACTGTTTGCAAATTTAAACTTCCATGAGTGCATTTACTTTTAGGAAAAATAAATCTAAATGCTGGTAGTGTGGGAAAAGCGGAGCACCAAGGCCAAACCAAACAATAGAATTAGAAAAGGCAAAAACAGGGTTAGGACAAGTTATTTGCAGCAGCGCCATCTTGTGGGTAGAACTAGAATGAGGCCGCAACACTTGTGTTCATGTGCACTTTAATTACAGTTCTGCGGTCATAAAAAGCATTGCAGGTAGCTACAGTGGTACTTGAGTTTCTTTACAATATATTATATTGAAAAAAGATTTAAAATGAATAACTTATGATACACACACACTCAAGATTTATTTTGTTATTCCTATACAAGATAATACTGTCTCCATGTGGATGAACAACATAACGTAAACAAAACTAAAACATTTTATTTTATGCCATAAAACAAATGACAAGCAGATTTTATAGGTTTTATTTTCCAAAAGAAAAATATTTAAAATATAAATAAAATACAAAAAATAAGGCTTTGTTCCTCTCAGTCTTTTGTGGTAAGCAGCTTCTTTGCAAAGCAGCACTTTGAAAATGGTTTTGTTCACAATTTAAAATTGTTTTTGAAAATATAAAATCAACTTGAGTTTACGTTTGAGTTAACATTTATTGTTTTTTATTCAAAGTAAAACATCGTTGAGATTGTCAAAATCTTTTTTTTGTTGTAAATCCAATTTTACTTTAAGGATCACTTGAGCCACTCTTGAGCCTTTTATTAGCTCATTTGGTGAACTCCCAAATGATTGTTCTGTCTGTTTTTATACTAAGCACATGCAAAAGCTGTCCTTGTGAACCTAAGCTGGATAAAGCTGAATATCTTAACTCATCTAGGAAGCATGTGAGAAACAATCCTTTGCATCTGCTGACTTAAAAGCTTTTTTCTGAACACATTGTTTAGTTTTCGGTTTGTGCCAAACTGCAACCAGCATGCATTATGGGTAATATTATGGGCAGTATTTGCAGTGAGAAGACCTGGATGGTTGTAACAGGCGGTCAGAAACAGTCTGAAAGATTAACATCTTATGTTTTCACTTGTGCCTGGAGCGAACCTGAAGCAGAGTCGGTGTCTGCTCCATGATCCGTAGTAGCAGATTATCAATGTAGTCCTCCAGGTCTCGAACTTGTGACTTGACCTTTTTTAGATCCGCCTCACATTTCTCCAGCTGCAGCCCCTGCTGCTCTGAGGCCACCTGCTGCTTCTGCATGTCCATCTCCTGCTGCAGCAGCAGGGAGATCAGCTCCATGTTGGTAAGGTGCTGGTACTGAGCAGCTCTGTCTACACTCACCTCCTGGGACAAAGAAGAAAGAAGAGAACAAACAGATATGTTCTTTGAAGACAGGTTTCTTCAGAAAAAAGGTTCTAATTCTTTTTAGAAGGACACTGGACTGATTTATATACTATGTTAAGCCATGTGGACGCTGTGACTTTTTCACTCGTAGCGATCAGCTCTATCTCAAACTGTACAATTTCCTCGCAGAGCAAATCTCATGAGTCAAGTGCTCACACTGTACGACCCAGTTCTCAGATGACTGCTCACACTGTACATCGGGTAGCAAAACGTCAGGCCTAAAAATGTGCTAAAAATAGCAGTTTTTACACATCTGACTATTTATTGTGTAGTTATTGATGCCTGTTGTCCCCTGGTATTGCTGTAGGAGGACACACAGGGATTTATGGAGGGTGGAGAAGAAAGATGAGAGAAATAAATTAAAAGAATGTGTTGTAATCAGTTTAATTTGACATAAACAAAGCAAACATGCTTTCTTGACAATCCTTGTAATTGTGTGGGAAAAAAGAGTGTATAAATAAAAACAAACAATGTGTGTTAACAGGGAAATAGCTTGCGAGTTGTATTTACATGTGGGCAGTTCTGGTACTTTTGGGTTGCAGAGCTGCTGCTTCAACAGCGCAAGACCCTCCCATCTCGTGAGGAACCACCAACATCTCAAACACGCCTGAAATTTGTGCAAGCACACGATCGGTCTTTGCCAGGTGCTGTAGCACGTTGCATGATGGGTTACCTAGGTGTATAAACAAAGGAAGCACAGGCCGCTTTGTGCATTGTGAGCTTATAAACCTGCAGAAAATGGTACACTCCTGTTGTGTGAAAGGCTGCCATGCCTTCACAAGAAGACAACAAAGTTAAATGTGGGCAAGGATCGAGTTATTCTCTGTGTTTGACCGTTTATTTTAATACACAGACATTTTAAATGTTATGCAGAGAGAATATAGCAGAGATAACAAAAGATTCCCTTCAGAACATCAGAGTATTATCTCAGACTTTGGCACTATGATCAGCACAGCTCGCATCAGCATGCTGAGGAGCTGAGAGCGGATCAGAGTGCGTCTGTGGGTCACAGAGGCCACCAGCAGAACCAGAACACGCAGGTAAAATATTCCTACTTTAAGTTACATCATTTATTTATTGTTTATTTATTTATTTAACTTATGTTTTTCAGGAGGATAAACTGCTTGAGATGTAACATCTCGTTTTCGAGCAGGTCCTCCTACAACACAACCGATAACAAATAAGGTGGCAGAGTTAGAAAGTTATAACAGATTTAAAATAGAAAAAGGAAGGAAAGTAAATAAATAATAACAGTTAAAATAACGATATGGATGAATATATATATATATATACACACGTAAATATATGCGTACACACGCACAAATAAATACACATATGCATGGATACATAGATACCCACACGTACATACGTATGTAAATACCTATATATACAATTCAATTAAATAAAACTGCTGTGAGGCACTCAAAAAGAAATAATTTAATTGTAATATTTTTTCATTTCTGGACAAGCTAGTCAGCTTGTTTAGACTAAATAATAAATAAAAATTAATTAAAATTTAATTGTGAACTTTTATTTAGTTTTATTTGAGAAATGAAAATGACAAGAGGAAACGATCAGGACCGTTTTTTTAACTCTGTCAAAATGATAACAAAAAAGTCTAACGTGACCTTTGACCTAAGGTATTGTATCTGTACCTGCTTGTAACTTATATTGATAATAACCTGTTTAATTAAGGCCCTTCCAAAAACGAAAATGTAAAATGTACAATGATTAAAAGGTGAATAATGTAAGAATGAAATAATAGTGACATCATGTGGTCAAATGTGGGTACGGCAGTCCATTTTCAAACAAACAAGTGACTTTGTCACTATTGTTCTGCAAGTTCCATGACTATTGCCAGTTATGGATCAATACATGAAGATAACAAGCTGTTGGTAATTGAAAAAGTAGCTTGAGAGTTTTAGGAGTCAACTTTTTGAATCTAATTCACTGTTAGCTTTGTTAGCTCAACGTTAGCCTCTAGCCTTCTTTACCAGATATTGGAGTAAAAAATCAAAATGATGCCGGGGCTTCTTGGGGGGGTTTGAGAAATATCTTCTTGGTCGCTCTTGTTTACTAGTTTTTGATCTTTGCAGAATACTGCTGCATTTTGCCCGCAGGCGTTGAATTACAAACGCTAGCACTGCAGCGTTATGTGGCACAGACTCGGCAGCCTTGTGGGCTCCGATTATAAACACTGACTGCATCCATTTTTGACCATTTTGAAAGGAGAAAAACTGACAATCCTCCAGCCGGCTTAAAATGAAATCTGTTTCAATGTAACCTTCCTTCCAACATGACTGAGAAATTAAACAGTTTTGTGATTATTTCACTATAATCATATTGTACCTTTAAAGGTTATAGAAGATAATTTGCATAAACTCTTGTGAACGTATTGAAACTAGATTGTTTTAAGATACTTTGGACTCTATTGTGAATAGAGGTTGGCTTTCTATTAAGTTAAAGTTGAAACTGTTTATGTAACTGCAAATCTAAAAAATAGACAATTCCAGTTATTTTGCTCTTTTTTAGATAGATGTGCATATTTAAGATGCCAGGACTGGGTCAAAGAAACATGATAAAAATCAGAAGTGAACATCTGTGTGAAAGGCTGACCAGCTTTATGACCGATAACAGGTGTTTGACAGTATGACAGAAAAACCAACTACATTTGATCCAGTACCTGATTCTTCTCGGGTTCAGCTGGGACCTGTTGGGCAGCGCGTCCAGGGTTTATGGTAGATTTGAGCTTCTCAAGAACCGAGCGACTCTCCTTCTTGTCAGACTGGCTAGATGTTAATGGTTTCACTGGGTGTGGTCTGCAAATCAAGAAGGTCAGGACTAGCATTTCAACACATACGGTTTATCATGTGCTGCACAACATGCAGGTCATGAAAGATTCATCTTATCTAATCAATGAGGTCGAGCTGTATGCCGTTTAATCAACGCGTTCTTCAAAGCTAAACCTATGAAGCTCAATAGCAATTCCTAACTCTTTAATCTATATGAAAGAAGGTGATCAGGGACAATGTGTGTGTTCAGCTGTTTTCATCTAAATCCATGAAAATATCACCTCATTTTTCAGTTTTTACATTTTTTTATCCTACAGTAGCATTTTCCCTTTCGCTGGCTCATGTAAAGAGCTGTTTAAAAAAAACAACTGAATAGAAATAAAATAAAAATGTATAAGAAAACAGCCAAAATTGCAGCAAAACCTAAAACAAAGCCGAGCATAAGAAAACTGGTCATTTTCCATCCCCAACAACAAAATAAAACTTGACATCAAACGCATAAACGTGAAGCTAAGCCAGAAGCTATGCAGCAGGTACCATCCAATCATGTTGGATGAAATGGAAGAAATGAAATCCATGGATGAGTTTGACATCAAACAGAATTACAACAGCAAAAGTAATAATTAAAATTAGATGGAACAAAACCCAGGTTTGGTGTCTTTAACACGGACTGATTGGTCTCACCTGCTCTCCTGGAGGGGCAGGCTGCTAGCAGGCTGCGTCTCCTCAGGTAAAAGTGAGTGCCGTGCATCGACCAGGGGCTGGTCAGTGCTGGAGGTGGTGGAGGAGGTGGAGGAGGTCTCAGCCAGAGTGGAGGTGGCTCCACCACTGGACCCCATGACTGAGGTTTGAATGAGGGGGCAGTGGGTGTCAGCAGACAGGGAGAGGGCAGATGGGATGGGGGGAGAACAGAGATCAGGATCCAGCAAAGATGTCCCAATCTTTGACTTAGAAGGGGTTTTGGAGTTTGGTGCAACTTTAGTGTGAAGGTCTTCAAAACTCGTCTCTACGTTTTTTTCTGCTACGTGTGATGCTGTGCTGCCTTTTAAAGATGCCTGCGATTCATTAGCCTCACACTGATCAGTGGAGCTAACTTTAAGCATATCTACCTGATCTAATGCTTGTAAGGAAGACAATACTGACTTAGTGGGCTGATAGGATGATGGACCTTCACTGATTTCTGAAAAGTTCTGAACTAGAAATGGAAACTGCTCAAAGTCTCGGTCTTGGTTTTTGCTCTGGTTGTTCGGGCTGCCGCTGCTGTTCTGTCGGGTCATTCCTCTGGGCCGGGTTCGTGCGCTGACAACCCCTGAGAACAACTTAGCCTGGTCTTGTGGGTTTCCATTATAATCCTTCATCTTTTTTAAGTCACTGCTGTTCCCTTTATGTTCTTCTTTATTTTCAGTTTTAACTTCAGCTGAGTTACATGCTGGATTGTTTGATGCCAAAGCAGCTCTGTCCAGTTCACTTCCACAGCCTTGGCAGCTGTCTTGGCAAACTGGAGGTACTTTGCACAGTTTCTTAGAAGACACAGCTATTTCAAAAGAGGAGTTTAATGCAGGTATGTATGTGTCTTTCAAAGTGAACATGTCCTCTGGTGTATTCTCCTTGTTGTGAGACGCTGCCGTTAAATCTTCATTAGGACAAGTCCCTCCCAAACTGTCGAAGCTCTTAAAAGCATCTGCAACATCTGATTGAGAAGACCCATCAGAATCGATAAAACCAAAGTCCGAATTGTTTACGTTCATGTTCAGGTCTCCTAGAGTTAGTGAGAAAGATATGTTGTTGTTGATGCACAAAGTTTCACACAGGTTGGTTTCTTCCGTTTCCTCTGCTGGAGTGTAAGAGATATCTGGAACCTTGGAGGGAATGGGAGATGGCACACTTAAGAGGTTTCTAACAGCCACGTCTCTGTCCAGACGTTTTTCTGATCTAGCTAATGTACTATCAGCAATGTCCTCAGCGGTCAGTGACAAATGATGACTATTTACCTTTTGTTGTCCATAACTTCTTCTGCACATACGTCCATACAAATCTTGCTCAAACAGCATCCCTCCCCAGCAATCAGTTTCATCTTCCAGAGGTTCATATTTGAACTTTTTGAGCCTCTCTTCTGGCGTGAAACCAAGTGAGCTGTTATTTGTCTGTGGCTGTGAGTGAACGCCGAGAGACTCAGACGTCTCACTGCTCGAATGAACGTCCAGAGAAATGCTGTTCCTTTTGCATTCTGCCTCTCTGCCGTGTTGTAGTGAGGCCACGCCGGTCTGAGAGAGGAGGTAGGCTTCTTTATGAACTGCTAGCTCCTGGCCTCTGTGCAGCCAGCCATCAGAGAAAATCTCATTAACTGGAGTCCTTAAAAGTTTTCTCGGAGGCAACGGCGGAGGCTCTTCTTCGCATGTTTGCAGTTCTTGTGCATAGTAACAGATGATGTCATCAACAGGAAGATAACTGTGTTTACAGGATAAAGTTGGACTGGTTCTTGGCTGATCTGGAGGGTGTTTAGGAGAGTTTAGTCTGCTGGAGGCGAAGGCATCAAAAGAGTCATCCCATTCTCCTAAAATCTCCGTTTTGAAGCAAGGGGCGGTGTGAAAGGGGGAGTTAGGTGTTGCTGCCGTAGGTGATACGGCAGGAAGCGAGGTCTGCTTAGCTATCGGCCTGGGGCGCTCCCGTTTTATGGAAGCAGTGTTTGTAGCCCTGGCTATGGGATCAGAGCTGGGTGTGCAGGGCTGAGCAAGCAGAGTGGTGTCACACAAAGGGGGTGAGCCAGGAGAGGAGCATGATGTAACAGAAGGTAACTTCTCCGATTCTTTCTCTACAAGCTCCTCGAAAAAGGGGTTGCGCTGAATACATGGGAGAAAGGGGTTTGAAGGGGAGAGGGGGGTTGAAGAGGGGGAGGAGGAGGAGGGGGTGTGAAGATGGATGTGACTGTGGTCATCAGGTGAGATATGACCAGAGGGAAGGGAGCGCTGACGAGGTACGGGGGAGCAAGAAGGGAGGGGAAGGGGTGGGTCTGAGCTGCTTTCTACCTTAGGAGAAACTTCCAGCCTGTGAAAATAGGGCACAATAGTCCTCTCAGTTAATCAAGTGCCAGGTTACCAAATGGGGAACATCTCTGCACACAGAATACAAGCGGATGTTGCTCAACAGTGTAGAGCTAATTCCAGTTAGAAAACATCAGAACACAAAGGCAGACTTGTGGAAACGTAAATGTAAAAAGAAGCAAAGCAAAATTTGCAAAAGAACCAAGCAAAGAAAACGTAGCGGATGCATCAAGGCCGTTCCAGCACCCTGTCGGCTTCTGAGGTGGGTGAGCTGATACAAAACATCCTTTTTTCCTGATCTACTCTCATGTTGTCAACGAAACACAGACTGGTCTTCAGTAATGGAGCTAACAGTGAGATCAGGATACAGAATGGTTTAAAAATTATCAAAAGTAAATGTGTGTCTGTGTCTAATGAGCAGAGAGCAGAACAAACACGACCTGGGAAACCCAGTTGAGCACAAGACCAACAGTATGACCCAATAAAAACTAAATGCGTCAGTGACTGTAGAGCTCGGCACTCGACAGCAACGTGGTAAATGACTTGTACTCACCTTGGCTTGTTCTGAGAGTCACTGGAGCCAAACCAGCCTCTGAACTTCCCCTCAGATGCAGAACCAGCCTGGCTTAGGTCAGCCTTAGCAGGGAGGGAGTCACTCCTCCCTGCAGAGAATAACGTCTTTCTTAGTTTCCTTCCTTTGTCAGGTGAACTGCTAGCCGAAGATACCATCGGTATTGCTCCCTGGACCGACCAGTCCCCAGTCTGAGCTTCCTGAGCTGAGGCGGATGATGCCCGAGCTTCCTTCTCGTCTTCCCGTTCTTCTTTCTTCACCTTGTCAAGCGACCAGCGCCGGCCCTCTGAGAAGGAACCTTTGTCCTCACTTCTCTTGGTGAGATTCTGCAGGGAGCGAGACAGCGGCGAACACTTTTCCAGGAGGACCAGTTTGGACGGGAGCGCTGCAGAGCTTTTGGGAATGGACGGCTCTGAATCGTAGACGTGGCTTCCATTGATGCACAGGGACGACTTGGACTGAGTCATGGCTGTTGTGATCTTACTGGCTTCATCGCTGAAGGCTCGTTTGTGGGTGAGAACCTTTGTGGTGTGCTGGCTGGTCAGCACTGTTGGAAACACACACATAAATAAGAAGCAACGAGCATTAAAGGGGTGTCATTGAAAGCAGTAATCTGTTTGATGTTGGAATATTTTAAACTGCAGCTGAAGCAAACATTAAAATTTACCATTTTGGCAACTGAACTTTTCTGTTTTGTTTGTGCTGTTTGTTTTTGTAGTTTCGTTATCAGTAGGGAGAGAAAGTTGCACCGGAAATGAAGCCAGCTGAACCCAAAAACTGTATAGGAGTTACACATTAGAGACAGGTTCTTTGGGTTGTGGGTAATTTATTATTATTATTATTATTATTATTATTATTTAACAGAGTTGGTTATAGACATCCAGAGAGTGGAGATGGACTAAACTATTTTACTTTTAATCATTAACAGAGGTTAACAAGGGATCTGGCCTCCAGGTTTGTTTGCAAACCTGCAGGACTAAACAGCCTGGACTTTTGATTTTGTTCTCTGTTGCCCTTCATAGTAAACCAGCTTAACCCATAACGTGTTTATTTCCCGTCCATTCTGTATTAGAGTCTAATCTTAAACATCTGTGGTCCCAGCAGCTCTGTAGCACTAAGTCCTGCTCAACGACAAACATTGTTTGGAGTCTTAACCAATTATTTAGACAAGTGATGAGAGAATAAAAAAGCTTTCTTTTACAGACAAATAAAACTAAAAAACAAGTATGTCAAACTCCAAACAGCTGTGAGGACTGTTTTGCTTTTCCAGGTGATTTTTCCACAATCTGTAAGCAAACTCGTTTTGATTTATTCAGAAATAATTTGAAATCCTACCTTTTTTAGCTAAATCTGTGTCTCCGTAGTGGGTGTCAACTCTCACTTTGCTCGTGTAGATGGGGGAGCTGGGGGGGTCTGAGAGCAGATCCAGGCTGGGTGGAGGGCCCAGGTTATCACTGGTCATGGATGACAGACTACCCTCTGACGCCAAAGAAGAGCACGACCTGGTGTCGGACGACTTTCTCAGCCTTCCTTTGAAAAAGTCTTTCACCTTGCTCCTCTTCTCCTCTGTTATCTGCCCATCTCGTGACTCTGGCACACCTCCTCCCTCCTCTCCAAACGGCTGCCCCGGGGATCCCGACAGGGCGGCATAGCGGCCCGGCACGATGGCTGAGGAGGACTCCACGTCCCCCTTCTTCCTCCCTGTGACGCGATCCTTGAGCTTTCCAAATGCAGAGCGAGGCTTGTCCTTCATGGTCAGGTCGAACATGCTGGCTGTCATGTTGTTCCGGGTGAACTGGACCGTCACCTCTAGTTCACCTCGTTCTTTCTCCTTTCTGCCCACCTTGGAGCTGAGCTTGAACCATCTGCGGGTAAAAAAAATCTAATTTGAGAGTTGTTCTCTGTTATTGTTGAAATTCTTTGTAATAAACCAAAATGAACAACCAAACTATTTCCTTTTGGCAAAGCTCACCTAACATTACATGATCTGAAAGTACAGCTGTTTTTGACATCATTTTAAAAATGTCCCTGAAATCACTGACCAAATTTCTTTGTTAAAAAGAGCAAAGATGAGGGTCCACGGGTAAAATCCTCTCTGTTTCTGACTCTCAGAATGTGTGAGTGGACCACAGAAGATGCGACGTAGCCAAAACTAACAGCAGGAATTCGCTGCAGGGCGGAGAACCCAGAATTAAATTCAGATGTGCTGTTTGTGTCACTCTTTTCTGCTTTTGTGTTTCTCATGACAGTGCACTTATATCACCTGCTGTTAAAAACATCAATCTGGAACAAAGTGATCTTTTACAGTTGATTCCAGCTTAAAACTAAAATAACTGAAACCAGAAGACAGTAAGCTGAACTTGTACTGATTGATGAGTGTGACACAAACACAATTAATCATAATAAATCCCCTTTCTTTCGCAGCAAACTGAGCTAGCAGTAGAGCCACATGACAACATGCTGCACATTCCTGAGTGTTCTGACCCAGGAAAGTGGACACGCACCACTATATAACTGTGCTTGTATATATGTAGGCCAGCCTGATTAAAGACATCTGTTTGGAGGCGACACAACCCCTGAGCACATTTCTGATTGACTCTGTGAGTTCACACTCTGCAGAACGCATTATCACTGAATGACATTGGACTTTCACAGCGAATAATCCAACGCAGAACTCCAAAACGGCATCCATAGCCTCTGTCATCAGACACAAAACATTCCTGTTTGGCTGATTCTTTTTTGTAACAATGCTTCTTGGGAATAAAACTTCATTTACTGGGAATCCTGGTGAGGAGCATGGATAAATGTCAGGGCACCGGTGTGGAAATGTAACATTTCTTGAAATATTCTCCAGCTGGTTTGCACTTTTTTTTAAGTGTGTGTGTGTGTGTGTGTGTGTGTGTGTGTGTGTGTGTGTTGTGACACTTGATACACACCTGTAAATGCTAGAGTGACCAACACCACACTGGTTGACCTTCAGTAACTCCTCAGGATGTTGTTACACAACTAAATGTGTCCAGACTGACCAGCATGAGGAGGAGGAGCAGGGCTGTATGTGTGCTAGGTACCAGACTGTGGAAAACAAGTTAAGTAAAAAAAAAAAAAAAAGTGGCCACTATGTGTTGATTTTTCCTTTTAACTGTCAGAAATGGAATTATCCAATTCACAGGGTCATTCAAGAAGTGAGTGAATGCCAGCAGGAGAGTTGTATAGGGGTTTGTGTTACCCACATGTTTATCTGTGTTGCTCATTGCACGGATGAACCTCGTAATCTTTTTTCTCTTTGGACTTCCCTTCAGGAGTTGCCACACCCAATCATCTGCCTCCTTTTAGTCATACCTTCTGCATCCTCTACCCTCATAGCTACCTTCATGTCCTCTCACTGCATCCATAAATCTCCCGTTTGGTCTTCCTCTCAGCCTCCTGCCTGGTGGCTCCGACCTCAGCATTCTTCTACCTATATAGTCTCTTGTCTGGACCTGTCCAAACTAGTGATGCACCGATATAAACATTTTAGGCTGATACCAATATTAGGATCAATGGTATGGCCGATAACCGATATTTGCCGATACAGATATACTGACATTAATGTTTCTAAAATCAGCAAATTTATTTAAGCTGAATTTATGTTATAATGTGCACACATCACATTATTACGGTTCTGAGATGATTTCATTCACTGTTCACATGACTAAACTATTACACATCACCCCCTCACCCTCTGAAACAGCCAAACAAATGGAGACTAGATGGAAAAAAATATCAGTCGTTATTATCGGCCCGGTTTTATTTATCAAACCAATACTGATATGTTAAAAAATGACTAACATTGGCTGATACCGATATTGATGCCGATATGTTGTCCATCCCTAGTCCAAACCAACGCAGTCTGTTGTCTCTGGCTTTATCTCCACTACTAGTAAAGGCAATTAATCTCGCTTTCTAATAATATAGAACTTATGAATGATTATTACTACACTACATTACTTGAGTCGGAAAAGAATGCCTTCTCCAGGTCAGGGATGAGGTCCTGCCTCAAGCTGAAGTCTCTCGAGGCCTTGTTCACGAGTGAGGGAAAGATGGAGGAGATAGGCGGATTGGTGCTGCATCTGCAGTGATGCAGGCGTTGTACCGGTCCGTCGTGGTGAAGAGAGAGCTGAGCCAAAAGGCAAAGCTCTCGATTTACCGGTCGATCTACATTCCTACCCTCACCTATGGTCATGAGCTTTGGGTAGTGACCGAAATAACGAGATCGCGGATACAAGCGGCCGAAATGAGTTTTCTCCACAGAGTGGTTGGGCTCTCCCTTAGAGATAGGGTGAGAAGCTCGGTCATGCGGGAGGGGCTCGGAGTTGACCTGCTGCTCCTCCACATCAAGAGGAGCCAGTTGAGGTGCCTCAGGCATCCGGTCAGGATGTCTCATGAACGCCTCCCTGGTGTGGTTTTCTGGACACGTCCAACTGGGAGAAGACCCAATGGAAGACCTAGGACACGCTGGAGGGAATATGTCAGCTGGCCAGGGACCACCTCGAGATTCTCCAGAGGAGCTGGCCCAAGTGGCTGGGGAGAGGGAAGCCTGGTACTCTCTGCTTAGGCTGCTGCCCCCACGACCCGACTCCAGATAGCAAAGGAAAATGGATGGATGGATGGATGGAATCAACCAAACACTTAAAAGGAAACTTTTAGTGACAATTTTATATTTAAATGTTTACTGCAAGATCTGGGTTTATATGTGAAATAACCAAAGTTTTAGGGTATTTTTCAGCCTTGAATTAAATATAATAACTAGTCTTTCTCTGATGTCACATATCTGGATCATTTAAACAACGTTGAAAACATATTTTATCTGAAAATCCACTTATTATTAATATATTATAGGAAGGCATGCCTTACAGAACACATACAATCTCTTTTAATACTTGTGCTTTTTCTGAGATATAAGTCTTGCCTCCTCAGAAAAACTGCAACTCATCTCGGATCAGTGGTGCATTGTGGGAACCTTGTGCAGTCAGGCTGGAGGGGGCAAACTTTGACAGCTTCAAAACAACTCATCTGATTTACTGCTGAACTGTTTGGAGCTCGTGGGTTAGCCCAGCTGCTGCATTGTGGTTTTTAAAATAACGCACATGACTGATCAGAGCTGCGTGTTCCAACTAAATATGTGTGAATTTACTCAAACCTACTCCTCTCTGGGACACTCGCCATCCTGGAATATCTTATCCAGTGGGATGATGGTTTGACCCAAAAACACGTCCAGTCCGATCAGAACCCGGTGCATGACGGTGAGGATCAGGTCTCCGCTCTCTGGCGGGTATGAGCTCCGGCCGCCGTCCTCCAGGATCCCGGGGAGCAGCTCAAAGCAGCATTCCTCGTTCCACACGGGCACCTCCGCCTTCTCCACCAGACCCGTGGTGTATTTCTCCTTCCCCACCTGGATGATTGTGTAGAGGTAGCGGCTACCGTGCTTGCCCTTGGTCCGCAATCCCCTCGCGCGCAGCACGGTGACATTGACATGAGTAGGCACCCATCTCTGATCATCATCCAGATCTATTAATGACATCATCTTGTAGCCTACACAGGTCCTCGGTTTCACTTTGGATCATCAGATGATAGCGAGGTCATCCCCCTTCTCCGCTGCGCCAGTTTCTGTGCTGCGCAAAAAATAAAAATAAAATAAAAGAACCTGCGAAAAATCTCCAAAATCCTCCACCGAGCAGAGCCGCGGGTCGTTTTTATGGCAGACCCTGAGTCTGCACTCGCTGCTTAAACTCAATCAGCATAAATTACGGTCCTGCGTACAGAGACGGGTTCGTGACGCATCATCAATTAGTCCATGGTCCAAAATCTGTCAGCTGTGTCCAAGGCCCGCCCTTCTCCACAGCAGCAGGCCCGCGCGCAGCACAGAGAGATGCCGCAGAGTTAAAGAGAAACAGCCACACAGGAGAGCTGCTCTGGGGCCGGCTGTGTGCTCAGTAAACAACAGCAAACTGAGAAATGTAAGTTTTTTTTTCAGAACTATTATTTCTTATAAACATCTGGAAAAATTCATAACGAACCCAAGACTTTTCAAAAACTAGGGTCCAGTAGATGAACTTAATCAAAATACAATAAAACCACGGAATTTGGGTTTTACTATTTACATGCTCGCATTAACAGGCTTTAATGTTTATTAATTAATAGCACTTTGTGTGTTTTATAATTAGTTTTGTCTAGTTCCGCTGTATTGTGGACATGTTTTTACCTTGTAATTACTGGAATTTAATTTTTACTGGTGATAAACACAGTTCTTAACACTCCAGCGCCATCTCGTGGGTTTTTTCTGCACAAACCCAAAAGTAACAGAACTAAACCGGTCTTTAGGTTTGGGTTTGTCTTTATTTAAGAGACAATGTACTATTATGAGACAGAGAAGCGCTGTACCAGTTTATGGCTAAGCAGCTGGTTTCCACCAAGTCCAGGTAGTAACAAATAAATCAATATTAAATTAATAAAATCACTGTGCTGTGTTTTTTTAGATGAAAAAAATATAAAAAAAATTTTTTCATTTTATTATTTTAGATTTTTTTTAAGAGGAGGGCCCGTCGGATTGTCGTACCTCTGATTCAGGAGGAGCAATGTGGTTTTCGTCCTGGCCGTGGAACACTGGACCAGCTCTATACCCTTAGGGGATCCTGGAGGGTGTGTGGGAGTTTGCCCAACCAATCTACATGTGTTTTGTGGATTTGGAGAAGGTGTTTGACTGCGTCCCTTGGGGGACCCTTTGGGGGGTACTCTGGGAGTATGGGGTACCAGGTCCTCTGACATGGGCTGTTAGCTCCCTGTATGACCTGTGTTAGAGCTTGGTCCACATTGCCGGCAGTACGTTCCCAGCCAAGGTGTTGAGGGGATCCGTTTTGGTGGCTTGAGAATCAGGTCTCTACTTTTTGCAGATGATGTGGTCCTGTTGGCTTCATCACAACGTGATCTTCGGCTGCCGCTGGAGCCGTTCACAGCCTAGTGTGAAGCAGCTGGGATGAAAATCAGCTCCTCTAAATCTGAGACCATGGTATTGATTCGGAAAAGGGTAGAATGCCTTCTCCGGGTCAGGGACGAGGTCCTGCCCTAAGTGGAGGAGTTTAAGGATCTCGGGGTCTTGTTCACGAGTGAGAGAAACTGGAGCGTGAGATCGATAGGTGGATTGGTGCTGCATCTGCAGTGATGCGGGCGTTGTACCGGTCTGTTGTGGTGAAGAGAGAGCTGAGTCAGAAGGCAAATCTCTCGATTTTCCATTACGATCTGCATTCCTACCCTCACCGATGGTCATGAGCTTTGGGTGGTGACAGAAAGAACGAGATCGCGGATACAAGTGCCCAAAATGAGTTTTCTCCGCAGAATGGTTGGGCTCTCCCTTAGAAATAGGGTGAAAGGCTCAGTCATCCAGTAGGGGCTCAGAGCAGATGTGCTGCTCCTCCACATCGAGAGGAGCCAGTTGAGGTGGCTCGGGCATCTAGTCAGGATGCCTCCTGGATGCCTCCCTGGTGAGGTTTTCCATGCACGTCCAACCAGGAGGCTCCAGTTAACTGCGCTTCAATCAATTCTTTCTGGTCTACCACTCGCCGTCATCCTCACAGGAACTCATATTGCCGGACAGCTGATCACTCCTCGTTAGCCAGCCTCGCCAGGACAGCTAACGCTCATGGATGTGACAGCACCACCGTCAACTTCAGCCTTCTCAACATCCACTCTTTCACTGGGAAAAGTCATTTCATTCATGATCTCATCAAGGACCGTGGAATCGACTTCGTGTGCCTCAGCGAAACTTGGCAACAGCCAGCTGATTTCTCCCAGCTCAACGACGCTACTCCTCCCAGGTTTGTTTACCTCACCAAACCACGCGGTTCTCATGGAGGAGCTGCGAGAATTGGAAAGTTTTCCCAGTGTCTGTCTCTGATTTTTAATTCCTTTGAGTATTTGGTTTTTAAACTTAATGGACCTACCCCCACTATCATTGGATTAATCTACCGCCCCCCTAAACCTCACAAAGACTTTTTGTCAGAAGTCTCAGTACTGCTCACTCATTTATCTACACTCTCATCTAATGTAATAGTGCTTGGAGATTTTAACATACACATGGACAACAGCGATCTTCCCCTCACCAAAGACTTCTCATCCTGCCTGGACAGCCTTGGATTTAATCAGCACATCAACTTTCCAACTCACTCCAAAGGACACTGCCTGTATCTGTTGTGCTGCTCTGGTCTCACCCCTCTTAACTATGCAGCTGATGATCTCCACATCACTGATCACTAATTTATTTATTTCAATATTGTCACCCAGCTTTCTTTTACTAAACCAACCCGGCTCATCTCTTTTAGGAATATAAAGGACATCAATACTGACACTTTATCCTCTTATATTGATAATATTCAGCTACCGGACAATCTCTCCTCTCCTGATAACCTGGCTGCTCTCTACAATGATCAGTTAGCTCACATTTTAAACTCCCTTGCTCCAGTTAAAACCCGTTCTGTTACTTTCTGTCAGTCTGCTCCCTGGTTTTCCCCTCAATTCCGGACGCTGAAAACCAAATCCAGACTGCTTGAAGGCCTCTACAGAAAAACTGGTCTCACCATTCACAAAGAACTACATAAAAATCATATGACACAGTATAAGGACTTCATTATACTAACCAAACAACAGTATTACTCATGTCTAATCAACTCCAATCGAGGCAATACTAAGTCATTGTACTCCATTATCAATAAAATTCATCGGCCATCCGACTCTCTCCCTCCACACATGTGCTCTACTGCTACTTGTAATGCCCTTCTTCTGTTCTTTAATGAAACAATAATAAAAATTTACAGTGCAATCAACCAAAGCATCCCCCCTACCTCCCCATATGATCCTCCCGAACCAACACAGTTATTTTCCATTTTCCAACTCCCCAGTGATTCTGAGATATCAGATATTATCCAAAAGTCAAAGCCTTCTACCTGCCTTTTCAACCCCCTTCCCACGGCCTTGGTTAAATCCTGCCTCCCCTCCCTGCTCCTCCTCATCTCCGCTCTCATACACGCATTCCTTTCCTCCGGCATTGTTCCCTCTATCTTCAAAACTGCTGCAGTTTCTCCAATACTTAAAAAACCTGGTTCGGATCCTAACATTTTCACTAATCTCCGCCCCATCTCCAACCTACCCTTTGTCTCCAAAGCCTTAGAAAAAATAGTCACTGCCCAGCTCCACACCCATCTGACTCTAAACTCCTTCTATGAACCCTTCCAGTCCGGTTTCCGCCCACTTCACAGCACAGAAACAGCCCTCCTCAAAATAACTAACGATCTCCTCATTGCTGCTGATTCCGGTCTACTATTCATCCTGGTCCTCCTTGATCTGAGTGCGGCCTTTGACACAATATCTCATTCCATTCTCCTCCATAGGTTATCCTCCATCGGCATTGCTAACATCCCACTTCAGTGGTTCCTTTCCTACCTATCAGGTCGCACTCAGTTCATGACTATCAAATCCTCACGCTCACAGCCCTCTCCTGTCCCTTCTGGTCTGCCCCAGGGCTCTGTCCTGGGGCCCCTCCTTTTCATTATATACATCCTTCCACTTGGCAATATTTTCCACAGATTCAATATTCATTTTCACTGCTTTGCGGATGACACCCAGCTCTATTTGTCCAGTAAGCCAAATTCTGCACTTCCTCCCTCCTCCCTCATCACCTGCCTTCAAGAAATAAAATCCTGGTTCAGTTCGAACGTCCTGAAGTTAAATACAGACAAAACAGAACTTCTTTTGGTTGGTACGAAGAACACCCTCTCAAAATTTGACAGTTTCTCTCTCACTGTTGATAATACTTCAGTTTCCCCCTCTCCCCAGGTCAAGAGTCTGGGTGTCATCCTAGCAGCACACTATCCTTCCAATCTCATATCAATAGCATCACACAGTCAGCTTATTTCCATCTTCGTAACATTAATGGTCTTCATCCCTCCCTTGATGTCCACTCTACTTCTATTCTTGTCCATAGTCTGGTCACATCACGTATCGATTATTGCAGCTCTCTTCTCTCAGGCCTCCCTCAGAAAACCCTCCGTAAGCTCCAGTTGATTCAGAATGCAGCAGCACGCATCATTACTAAAACTCCCATCTGTCATCACATCACCCCCATCCTCAAACAACTCCATTGGCTACCAGTGCATACCAGGATTAACTACAAGATTCTCCTTCTCACCTTCAAGGCCATCCATAACCTCGCCCCTCACTACCTCACAGATCTCGTTCACATCGTCGCCTCGTACCGTTCCCTCAGGTCCTCCTCCTCCATTCATTTCTCTGTGCCCTCCTTCCGTCTTAGCACCATGGGGAGTAGAGCCTTCAGCTGCACTGCTCCCAAACTCTGGAACTCCCTTCCCCTTCACATCAAGAACATTAACTCATTCACAGAATTCAAAAAACAACTCAAAACTCACCTCTTCATAACCACATATCAACTTTGAATTTTAGAGTGCCTTGTTTGTTGATGTTTACGTATGTTTACTTATTGAATTATTTGTGTTTTTATTCTGTAAAGTGTCCTTGAGTGACCAGAAAGGCGCTTTTAATAAAAATGAATTATTATTATTATTATTATTATTATTATTATTAAAGGTAGACCCAGGACATGTTGGAGGGACTACGTCTCTCACCTGGCCAGGGAACGCCTTGGAATTCCCCTGGAAGAGCTGGTCCAAGTGGCTGGGGAGAGAGAAGTCTGGGCCTCTCGACTTAGGCTACTGCCCTCGCGACCCAACTCCGGATAAGCAGAAGAAAATCGATGGCTGGTTGGATATTTTTTTAATTCAGTAGGAAGATCGTTCCATTCTTTATTGCTTTATATGAAAAAGTTGATGATGTGAAAGCTGTTTTGCATTTTGGTAATTTCACACTGACCTCTGCCCATCTGCTGCA